TGTGAACATATTTTTTCAGAAACTTTTTCATCTAACATGGAAATTACATCTAGAGGTATCTCAAGAATTACAGAACAATTCTTACAATTAAACACCCAAAATTTTAAAAGCTACAAGTGAGCTAATACTGAAGATCCCTCATGCAACAAGCAATAGTACATCAGTGCATATCATCAGTGCACTCATAAACAATAGGCAATAATCTAAATCAGATTCATGGTCCGCATTCTCTAACATGTGCATACTACAGTGCTCCTCCATGGTAAGAAGATGCTATATTTCTGTATTCCATGATTGACTTCATAACGAACTAAAAGAAAAAACAGAAAAGGGGTAATAATAAACTGTGTTACTATTAGGATTGGTGATTTTCTATGTAGAGGGCAATTTTTGACTTTTGCAAGACTTTTAATGTTTAATCCATTGGCAGTGATGTGATATCACGTCATGGCAAATTATCACAGATTGACAGGTGACACCATAGTACGTTACGAGTCTGTGTCCCGGTCACTGCTATGAGATCTCGCGAATACTACAGTAAGCCAGCCAATCATCCAGACACAAATGATAATCATCTAATCATCAGGTATGTTAGGAACTTAAGAGCCAAAAGACAAATAACCCTTAGGCCACATTTATCACATATTGCCAACTGAATATGAAAGCTTTTCTCCTGCCATCAATTCTAAGTTTCCAAGCCAAATCTCTTTCTATTAGCCACTCTTGATATCACACTATGTAAACAAATCCCCTTTATCAGCCAATTGGTGTTTCAGTGGCCAAAGAGTAGTCATGGAGACACCATATCCCCTGACCTTCTGCCCTCCCTGTGAGGGGAACACAATGCTAATGCTAAGCAATAGGGAATATGCTAGAAGGGAATGGCAGTCCGGAAATAGATGACACTCAAAGAATATTAAATGGACTATAATCGTGATAAGTATGAAAATCAAGATGATGAAAATATCAGTTGATAAGTATCCAAGTATAAGTGTAAGTGCCAGTATATCAACACTTTTTTTTTTCATTCTTATTTGTGTGTGTGATACTTTACACACTCCTGTAGGCCCAGATATGTTTTCTATTTGTTTTTTCATAGAAGTATGGCTGAGTTGACATGAATGAAAGGTCTATTGGTAGAGAAAGTGAGAAGAAAATCTGAAAAACACTTGCTTTGTTTGATAGAATGGTCTTTTTTTATGTAAGTGTACAAATCTTTCATACACAAATAATGAGAGCTTGCTTTCTTAATACAGGGTCACAACTTTCATACAGAGTAAATGCCAAAATAAAGTTGGATGCATGAAAAAAAAGGTACAAATACAATACAACCACATAAAATGTATTTATTTGTATGCCTTACTCTTAGGGGGGTAAAAAGATAATGCCAAGCTACAAGTGAAATAGGTAGAATTTGATTTTTCAATCTCGAAACCAATCTCAATCAAATTCTTTTTTAAACTGGAAAAGCAATTTTGTGTCAATATGGTATATCATCTAAATATGCAAGCCTATCTTTAAAAGCAATCACTTCAAAACCAACTATTATCTTTGAAATAAAACCATTGTTTAATCAGATCCTTAGTTACCATAGCTTGGCATAACCTTTGAGATTTCACAAAACAAAAATTGAAGGGTAACATGTCCACAATAACCCTAAGGTTTTAGTACATGCTCTCTCAATAGTCATATTCTTGATTAAGGGTAGCAGTTGCATTTCTGGTGTGATTTTAACAAAATGCTGTGGATGAATTAAATCTCAAGTGTAAGGTTTCCTCATCTACTATATATACCTTTTAGTTAACTTTCAAGTTTAAAATCATGCAATGATTTACTGTCTGTTGTATACCTCAATTTAGACAGGAATTACGTATCATTGAGCAGTCCCAAGATGCAGAGATGACACTAGGTATGTATATTTAGATGATGTGTTTAAAAGTGTGTGATATTTATGTAAACATAAAAGACAAAGCCATACACATTATACCAAATAAATAGAAAACAAACAAAAACATTTTTTTTCAAATTCCAAAACAAAACAACTGAAGGTAAATAACTAAAACTTTAAGAAGCCTAAATTTTATTACCATAGAAAAAAAAGTGTTTTACATAAATAAAACAGTATTCAGCTTATGTACATAAAAAAATATGTTTCCTTGATTCAAGGTAAGAAAAACTAAAGGTTAAATACTGAAAGCATTTTTGTGTCTATTACTAAAATGGGTTCCAGAACTGCACTAGAGGTAAGGATAATTATCATTTACTGTGAATATCTATGAACCAAAAGGCAAATCATGGAACCTTCCCTGCCTTGAGCATTACTATGAGCAAGATGTCACCTTTTTTTTAAGATAAATTATGCTAGAATTGTTTTTGCTACACCTCTGCAGAAGTCATCAAATACATACACATGTATATAGGTAGAAGAATTAGGTCTACTTGCTTTTATACATACATACGTACATGCATATATTTGCACACACGCACGCATCAACCCACATACACACACAAGCAAACAAGCAGGCACGCACGCATGCACGCACACACTCTCTTTTTGCTTGACTCTGTAGTATTTTCAAATATAAGAGATGTCAAAATATTCCAACAAGAGGGTTGATCCACAAAATTAAATGTTTAATTATTTAACTAATTTTGGGACAGTAATTGGAGATTTTTAGAGGTACTTTAAAAGTACATCTGGTAACCTGCAATGTGGTCTTAAGAGCAAGATGGGTTTGGTATTTATCACGTACATGACAAGGGTCTATCATTATGTTGACCAAAAGGAAACTATTATTATCCACTGTATGTCTAATCTGGCCTAATAAAAATTCTATTCATTAAAGTTAATCATAAAATTATTCACAATTAAAAACTGTATACTCTTTAATCCTTAAATACTGGATTCATATAGACTGTATAAATGTAAGTCAAGGTTCAAACATACATTTGTACCTTGGCTTACATATATACTTATATATTTGTTTGCAAGTGCCTGTTTGGAAAAATGCATGTGCACAGTGGTTCACAAACATTACACATGTATACACAGAACATACAAATGTGCAAAACACACCCAAACACTTTTATCCACACATAGACACATACATGTGCATGTACACACACACACACACACACACACACAAAGATGTTCTCTTACTCAAACATGCTTATTTCTCCCACTCGCTCTAACCTTTTCATACAATACCATAGTTGAAAGTATTCACCCTCTATACTGCAAAAGGCTTCTTAAAGCTAAATTATAGGGATATAGAAAATATTGCCACAATGTTACACATACAATTTCAATGAATTTGCAAATCTGAATTGCCTAGTAATACCTCTAACCAAGTCTAAAATCCAACTATAAACATTGCAACAATATCTTTCTTTTGCTTACATGTAGCTGAACACAGTCCTGCAACAGTGGGACAGATAGATGCCTAAGAATTGACTAGGCTGGAGTGCAGAGAATGATAATAAAGCAACATTGAAAGTAGAATAAGCAACATGGAAAGTGCATTTAAATAATTAAAATAATGTGATCCTATGTGCGCCAACACTCACTTGTTGTGTGTGTTGTACAAGGCATTCTTGTAGATATAGTCTATGACACTGTCTTGCACTAGATACTTGACACTTTCGCCACGTCTCAGGGCTCGGCGAACCTTTGTAGAGCTCACTTCATTGGTGATCCATTCAGTTACAATGTGGATATTTTTCTGTATGGAAAGATGGGAAACGTCACTTATATTAACTGTCATTTCCACAATCACCCAAAGCTAACATGTAAACAAAAAAGTTATAAAATCTACTATGGTAAAGGACAATTGTAAATGCCCAAGACAAAGTAATTTTGAAAAGAAATGCTTAATTTCACAATTTTCTGCATTCAACTTGTTTTCTTTTTCTTTTTCAAAGAGATTTTTTGATCCTCAAAACTGCTTCAAAATCCAAACAAATACAATGAAATGTATCTGCAACCCAGGTAGATACTACATTGATAACTGGTACGTACCTGATGCCTAGTTAGCACATCAGACTCGTATATAAACTTGTAGGGATTGCTGCCTTCTCGTGTTATCACAACAATTCCATATTTTCCAACCAGAGCTTCTATCTGAAATAGGGAAATCTGCATTTAGTTTTTCCTTCTTTATCATTAAGTTTTTGAGAGTAAAAACTCAAGCAGATAGTATCTAAAGTAAACATATCATATAACTTAATTTCCTATATTCCAGTATAAAGAACATGAAATATTGAAATATTGTACACTACCTTTACACAATAAAAAATTGACTCCCCTTAATATTTCTATACACACAAACCAAGAAAAAATAAAATAGAATTAGTGGTCTATCACCAGGTTTCTTTTCTTTAGGCTTTCAAATCATACCTCAGAGTAACTCTTATCTAAACCACATAAATCTATTTCATATAAGTAATCTTTGCTCTCTAAGCTATCTGGAAATGGTCTACCTAGTACCTTGATATAATACAGCAACAATTTCGAGAGCCTGATTCTTTACTGGAAACTCTTACCTGATTCAGACAGTGGGAAGAGTATCAGAAAACCAAAATTTAAAGTTTTCTCTGTTAGATTCCTTTCCCCTCAGAAAACCCTTTTCCCCTGTACATGTTGAATACATTTTCAAAGAAAAAATAAGACAAACTACTATCCTTCACAGTAAATGAACAAGAGAGGGCCACAAGAATGAACACAGCCATTTCTCAAGCAACTGAGGTATTCTAGGTGTTAGAATGCCTCTGAACGTGTGTTATCGCACACTCTCAAAAATATCAAGTCTTTTACTTACATCCTCATCCTTCCAAAGGCCTGGTCGTGCAAAAGACTCTAAAAGATCAGCACCACAGAGAAGTTTAACGGAGACAGGATCTGTCGAGCCTGCTAGGTGTGTCAGCCATGATGTGCTGCTGTCAAGGCGTTGTCGCTTCACTGTGGGATCCACATTTCCATTGACCACAGAGTCCACCAACTC